CTCGGGTTGTGGCCCAGTGCAACCAAGTAACGGGCCCATAAGGTAGCTCGCTACATCGTAGCACGCAAAAGGAGGAGTTCACCACAACGCGAGCTCCGGGTTCCCCGAGCTACCTCTTAGCTCGCGAGCTAAAGTAGCCTCGGAATATCCCTTTAGAGGTAGCTCGGGAAACCCGAAACTCGCGTTGTGGCGAACTCCTCCTTTTGTGTGCTACGATGTAGCGAGCTACCTTATGGGCCCGTTACTTTGTTGCACTGGGCCACAATGCTGAGCTATCGCTTATACTGAGTCAATGTCCACGTGTCGCCGTTTCGTAAATCGGGCCAAATCGTCCTCCATCAGGTGGGTTTCAGGAGTGAATCGCATTCGAGTCCTGGTTAGATTTTGGCTTGCATTCGATCAATGGAACGGGAGAACTTCAATCGATTTCACTGTTGCGAACTATTGCTGCTATTGCTACTATTGCGAATTCAGTTCGACTGGCGAAATAAAAAGAACATGAGATTGCTATATGATCAAGGGGAAGCCTGAGTACTAAGGGCAACCTTTGTGGGCGACAGTAGTTTGAGTAACTCCACGAGACAGTAGAAAATCATCAACGAAAGAGAGATGATCGAATGCACTTCACCACTAGGAGCTCTCTTCCATGGCCCGGAAAAAAAGAGCAGAGTGCAGTCTAGTAACATCATTGAAGAAGAACACGAGGGGGAGGAGAATGAAGAAGCAACGAAAGAAAGAAAATATGTCGATAATGGATGAGGGGGGTTCAGTTCGGCCGCCTCAAGTGTCAAGAGGAAGAAGAAGATGAAACAGCGTCTCCTCCTAGTTTCAGCGAACGCCTTCTCGTCTCAAATCAAAGTTGGGGACGATGAACAGTAGACTTTCCTTGGGGGAACGATGGGGATGGAGAGAGAGATCAGGGAAGGGACAACTATCGAAATGGACAGAGGTGGAGGGGATTGTCGTCACCGTTGTTCACGTGTTGCAAGGTTGAGAAAGGTGAACAGTGAGGATTTCCAATTCCGCCCCTTAGGTTAAACTGTTAAACGTGTACGTGCTAAGATTTGATTGGCAGTTTCTGAACGGTTATGACTTGTAACTAGGTACTGTGTGTTTAGAAAAGAGGGATAAAAAACGTCCAAGAAAGGGGAATTTGCTCTCCTTATAGTTTAAAGTGAGGCTTGTTTTTATAAAGGAACTGGGGTATTTTGGTAATTTTAGAAAACTTTAGGGGTATTTTTATAATTTTGGGAAAATTGGGTCAAATCGGGTCTGAGGGGGTTAAACTAGGATTTCTGATGGATGGATGGATGAGATTTTGGGTCAAAGTATTAAAGGCCGAGATGGGTCTGGTCGTTGAAAAGGGTTTTGCGCATGTGAACTAATGAGATTGACCGTGATGGAATCTTCTCAAACGGATGGGCAAATGAAGGTATTTTTAACTAAAATTTTACAAGGGAGGGGTTTTTAGTCATTCTGGATTTATTGATGGGATTAGATTAACCCAATTGGACTCAGATTGGGAAATTTTGGATGGGTGTGATTCAATTAAGGCCTGAGGCCCAAGCCCGAGGCCAAGCCCAATTTTTCCAACCCAATCCTAGCCTGCCTTATAATTTGATGCATTCGGGTTAGGCTCGGGCTCTAGCTCGAGTTGGTCAATAAACCCACTCTAAAATTATACATATACAAATGTATTTATGGAAATATGTATATATATATTTATATATGTATGTAAATATGTATGCAAAATATCTATACAAATGTTATATATACAAATATGTATATATGTATATATGTAAATATGTATGTAACATTTACATATATAAGCATACGTATAAATGTATATAATTGGGCTAGGCTCCGGCCAGGTTCAGGCTACCTAAGGGTTAGGGCCGAGCCTGGCCCAAAAAATAAAAATGCCTGACTTTTTGGTTCCGAGCCCAGCCTGAGGACCGAAAATTCAAGCCCAGCCCTTGTAAAATTCTGGGTTGGGCTGGTTTGGGCTCGAGCTGGGCCCACCCAAATTGTACCCCTAATGCCTATGTAACAGCATTGGTTCCAAACAAAAAATAAGCACCGTTTTCTGTACTTACAACTAACTCCACATCCTAGCACAGTTTTGATGAGAAAACAATGCAATGTTCCCAACACCGATGCCAAATACCTTCTAAACCTATCAGGTCCGAGTAAGTGAACCCCATCCATCCATTTATCATAAGATTTTCTTATTATTTCTCTTTTGTTTTCTGCCGAACCAAAAACAGGCTAAAGAGTGAATAGATCTGTAAAGGACTTCTTGATTGGGTTTTATATGAACAGATTAACCGCAATTGGGCGATTAATACTCGACAAGCAACCACCCTTATTTTCTTTCAAGTGCAAGCATTGTACAAGAGAGGAAGGAAATTGGTAGGGATACAGTCTTGATAGTTCTAACAGAGACACGTTGAAGTCCAAACAGTTTTTTTTTTTTCTTTTTTTTTCTGGTGATCCGGCTCCACTTTGATTTACAAGGAAAAACACAGAAGAATAGAATACAGGTCATTTGATTCCATAGGACAGAAAAACAGAAGACAGAGACAAAAAATATAATAAGAACCCGTTTCAACAAAATTCATCTTGGGGTCCCAAAAGCTTTGGCTAATGAAGAAATAAATAAAAAGAATGACTCCAAAAGGTGCAATATCACAGACAACAATTAAAAAAAAAAAAAAAAACAGAGAGTGAAATGGACAAGTCATACTCAAGGTTAAACCAGACCTATGAAGGAATTCGAAGGAACAGGAGAATATCATGAGCAAGCCTAATCGTTTCAAAGAATCTGGAGGAAGGGCTTGTATTGGACGATCAACGCTCAAGGTTGCACCCACGTACAAAGCTACAAAATGGTCACAACATGAGAATTATGGATGATATGGAGTACCAGCTAAAAAACTATTGACAAGAAGAATTATCACAAAAACATCCTCCCAATCAAAATCCCATAATTGGCTAATTCTAATATAAGGTCTAAAAATTAAAAAATAAAAAAAAAAGAGAAGAAATTGAACCCACATGAACCCAATTTAAAACAAGGTTCAAAATATGAAAAAAATAGACAATCTTAATACAAATTGATTGTGTATTAAGAGTTTTGTTCAATTGAAACTCTTATATTTTCTTATTTTTTATTTGATAATTCACACGAGGATGGCAGATTCCTTGGCCAAACAAGGGGTTCATACAATACATCATTTCGGGGCCTCATTGTTTAAAGGATAAACATATGGGTGGCTGTAAGGCTGTCAATTGGATTGGATTTGGTCCAATCCAATGTGAGTACGTTACAAATGGACAAGGTCCAATCCAATCTAATGAATATTTTGGACCAGTCCAATTCAATGTCTGTACCATCCAATCTGTTCAAACCCAGTCCACTGATACCTATATTCTTATCTTTTATCAATGAACCACATATTGGCTTAATCCAACCCAATCCAATATAAATTTATTACAGACAAAACCAAGTCCAATCCAATCTAATAAATATTTTGAATTGGATTGGTCCAATCCAAAATACCTTGTTGGTTCATCCAATCCATCCAAATTGATTTTGGACTGGACAGGGTCCAGTCCATAACTGGTCCATTAATACCCTTAGGTGGCTGGGTATCCAGTCCTTGATCAGACTACAATAGTAATAATTAACTCGATTATTAATAAAAAATCTCTTTCCTCATAAAAAACTTGTTAGGGTATATGATATAACCTTATTATCGTTTAAAACCATTGAAATCATTTATCTGGATAAATCTAATATAGAAAATGGGCGTAATTAAGTCTAGTTGAATCTAGTTTTGGGTGGCTTGAGCTTGACCTCGACTAAAACACTCAGCTTGAAACTCAATTCGAGCTTGGCCGAGTTTTGAGTTTCATATTTGAACTCAACTAGAGTTGATAGTTGCAACCAATGGCAGGGCCAGGATTTTTTTTTTTTTTTTTGCGGGGGCCAAGTTAAACAAGAAAATGAGGTAGGAAATAGAAGAAATAGGGTTAAAAATGGCCTGAGAAGGCTTGGGTCTATTACATATTGCAACCTACTCGAGCTCAACTTGGATCGAGCTAATTATAAAAAAGGTTAATATTGAAAATCATAAATAAATTAATATAAAAAAAATATATATATTTATATATTATAACTAAAATAGTTTATTAGAAGCTCAATTAAGCTTGCAAAATACTCAAGCCGGGTATTTCGAAGCTCAAACTTGACGCTACTAATACTTGACTCGAGTCAAGCTCCACTTCACTCGATAATCTCCAAGTTGATTTTGAATATTTAATTAGCGAGCCTGAGTAGCTCGTTGGCGTTAAACAAGTCACAAAATTTCCGAAAAGATCCCTAACTTTTATCTACCGGAAGGGACATTTTAATTATGTATAGAGATATAGTTTGACTAATTTTCCTTCTCGATGGATAAACAACTTACCCGAGTAGAGTAAAACTTTCCTGGGCAAATCGGGTAAATTTCCAAAAAAATAATAATAAACTTACCAAAGATGGTTTTATTTCCATGGGTCCTACACTTAGTTAAAAAACATGAAAAAAAATTTAATCAATTTTTCCATTATTCGAACGATGATCTAGGAGTGAATTTCAGTTTCTAGTTAATTCAATCAACTCTTGGTCTCGGGTACACTAGCTGACATCGTTAAAATCAACTTAAAAAGCATGGCTCCAGGCCGCACCATTTAGGACCTAAAAAACATTACGGTTTCAAAATCAAAACCAGGATATTCAAACCTGGTGGGATAAGTATAAGCGCTTGAACCAGTTACAGAAAAAATATAGCGGACGAGGTTTGATTCTGTCTCTATACTTCTGCATCAAAACTTACCAATCTCATATAGCATTCAGATGTGTACACCAGTTAATGGGTACCATCAATAGAGAGAACCCACACAAAAATAGAGTATAATCAATTAATTTTACGGTTTCACCTGCTTCGTCTGGATGGTGAAAAGTAAAACACACCATGTATATGCATTCAAGGATAAGATCCACAAATGAGAAAATAAATACAAAATTAGAAGCTCGAATAAAACATTTCAATTGTATTTAAAATTCAACGCCCTCAGATTAAAATTTAAATATTATGCTTCCGTTGAATTGGAAAAGCAACAAGCTCCTCTCTCTCTCTCTCTCTCTCTCTCTATGCACAAGGAATTATCAAAAACCTTAACCAAAATATCTTAACTATGTGAAAATAATCAATCTGTTGGGTGGCGGAAGGAAGAAATCAAGGATTGCGTTCAGGATCAAGATCCAGCAAAGGTGGTGGAGAAAACTGAGATGGCCCACCAGTGTTGCTTTCAAAATCAAATGGCTCTCCAGTTGCGAAAGAAGTAGAATTAGGGGCCACATAACCACCAACCAAAACCGAGGCTCCTTGTTCTGGGCCATGCTGCTCATTTGCTCCCATCACCCTTTTCTCTGCGTTGCCATGGTCTATTAGGACTGGCATATCTCCAGCATATAATGTTCTCTTTCCGTTTTTACCACGAACCACCTTGGAAAAAGAGAGAACTCAATGAGCATGACAACATAGGAGCAATAGCCATGGGAGAGAGCTCTTTTGGGGGGGCGGGGGGGGGGGGGGGTTGAGGATCCACCAAGGAGATTCTTTTCTAACCAACATGACTGAATTGGTGGAGGTCAACTCTCTTATCAAAGTATATTTTGAGATCATCAACCATTGTACTCCAAAATTCACATGATAAATTAAATTAGGCAGACACTTCTAATCTCTCAAATAGACAAAGTATTAACCAACCGAGGGGTGACTCGTTGGTAATGCTAGCTGGTTTGCTCCAGCATTGATGTGGAATCAATTCCCACAACCACCGATTTGGGGAAAGGGGGGGCGGGGGTTATTAGTGGTGTGTGGCACCAAGTACCAAATTAAAAAAAAAAAAAAAAGACGGAGTATTTTGTGATGGCCATCACTCACTCCCATTCCCAAACTTCAGTTCATGATGGCCTCTAATCTCTCCTTCCTTCTATTTTTTCCCACATAACTTGCTTCGACCTCTCTCTATCTCTCTCTCTCTCTGTAAAAGCTTTGTACCTGGATACATTCTGCTGTACAAAAAGTTAAACATCGAAGTTTTTAAAAGCATGCAATACTCAGCCATGGATGATACTTCTAAGATCGAAGACAAATTAAACTAATGTCGAATACAGGTTGAGGAATCCCTAAAGTCAAACGCTTAGAGTTGTGTGGAGATACGAGTCATGTGAGATTCAGATTGACTCTGATGGAAGGCTAGAGCAGAGGATGAAATCTCTCAATGCAAGCTTGATTGGAAGGCTCGTTGGAATGAATATGGAGGAGGTGGTCGCCTGCCTGAGCCTTCCTCAGATAGGGTAAGGACAGAGTTTTGGGTTCCAGAAGGTTGAATGGGGGATTGTTCTTGTTTATGTTCCATGGCAGGAAGGAAGCATAGTGGGTTTTGGAGTCTGAAGCTAAGTTTGAGTTGAGTAGGGGCTGTGACTTATGATTGAGCTGGTGGTTTCCAGTGGCAGGTCTTCTACGAGAAGGCAAAAGGAGGAGGGCGATATGGATTGGTGTTCCTGGAACCCCCCCTGCATGCGTGGAGTGATGCCTGTGGTAAATCCTTGATTGTTGATGAAAGGAACAGAAGCTGGGAGAAGATCAATGTTGTGAGAATTTTGATGGAGGTCAATGAGGTTTCTGCCATCCCAGTGTTTAGTTCTGATTTTCTCTGGTGAGAAATATGACCTAAGAATTTTTGTTGAGGGAGAGGAAATACCTTTTTCAGAGCGTATGCCGAAAGGGAAGAAGGGACTTTGAGAAGTCTGAAACAGGGCTGGAGCTGCAGGATGCTTTCTCTGTTGAAGAGGGGAAGTTGAAGAGTCACTCAAATGAGGAAGATGATGGAAGAGAAGGTACAAGGGGCATAATGGTAATTTCGGGTGGACAGGGAAATTAATAGAGAGGCACGTGGTTGGAGCAGGCAAGGATAATACAAATAGGTGCAGGTTGGAGGGTGGGAGTGAAAGAGCAGATTTTGAGGGGAGATACAAAAGGCCACAGGGCTCGTTTAAGACATAGGATGCTGAGTGGGGACCAGACAACTCCTGAGGTCGAGACTTAAAAGGTTTCAAAGCAGTGTGTAGGCGCAACAAAATAAAGGTAAGGAAAGGCTATGGTGCCAAGGCTCTGTAGCTCATGAGGAAAAAGAGAAAGCGGGATGCACACAGGCTTCGATCAAGAAAGGCGGAGGACTGGGTTTGGATCATTGCGAACTACGACAGCTTGGGAAAAAGAAACTGTAAGCCTGAGAAACAAAGAGAGTTGAACTGATGAGAAAGAGCTTCGTCATCTTCCATGCGGTGAAACTATTTTAGTTCAAGGGAGGAAGATGTTGGGAAATCAGAGGAACAAGCAAAGATCGTCCAGTCTACAGGTAGGTCTATCTGTTTTGGCTCTTTTGTTGTGGAAATTCTTGTTGATTCGCCCCAAAGGGAGTGTTTGGTGTTGCCTGACAAGGATTCTGCTAGGGTTAAGGGAGAAAGGAGGAAAGGAAGCTGGGGAAGAGAAACAAGAGGAAGGAGTAACAGGGGATGAAGCTTCTTAGAAGAGGTGCAGAGGTGGGGATTTGAAGGAGGGGAAGCCAGGAGGTTGGGAACAAGCAGTTAGCCTGAGGAAGAGAACATAAGAGACGACAATGGTAGGCCAGAAGTTCAAGAAGAGCGTTTACTCTTAGATGTCCCAGTTGGGAGACTTGGAATTGACTTAGGCCAAAGAAGGAAATGAGATCAGGGAGATGGATCCTTCTGCATCAGAGTTGTTGAAGAAAGCAAGAGAACCGAGCAAGTTCCAGCTTATCCACATGTCAAAAGTTTTTTAACGTTTGAAAGATGGTCTGGTTGGTGCTGGTTCTACCAACAAGTTCAAAAAAGTTTACAAGAAATAAAAAGATAAGAGATAAAGCTCTGAAGATGAAAGATGACGAGATTAGGGGAACCAAGTGCCAAGATTCTCAAGGGTTTCAATTGCAACAGTCGCTGACTACTGAAGAAGAATTGGAGTCAAGGCCAGAGGTTAAGGATAAGGAGGAAAGGGGTAATCAGGATAGCGAAGAAAAGGGTTCAATTACAACTTCATCGGTCAAGGCAGGTGAGAAGGGGGATGGGGGGGGTGGAGTGGAGATTGATATTTTGGTTGATAGGGATGTTGAAATGGGCAAGAGTTTGGGGCTGTTTTTTTGGGGAGGAAGGAGCTAGCTAGGAAGGCTTTCGAAGCTTTTGAAAAGCAAGAGGGAAGAAAGCTCAAAGAGGACCACAGATGGGCAAGAGTTTAGGGCTGTTTTTTTGGGGAGGAAGGAGCTAGCTAGAAAGGCTTTCGAAGCTTTTGAAACTGCTGTTGTTTGCGGCTGTACTTCTTTCCAGTAAAAGCATCCACAACATTACTCCCCTCCTGGACTAAGAGCTTGTCCTCGAGCTCGAATTCAGGATAGGTGTCCTGAAACACAGTCAAAGGAATCCAGGTAGCTTCAGCCAATGGTAAGCTGGCCCATTCCACCAGAACTTCAACAACACCTCGATTAATTCTGGAACGAACAATAGACTGAGGTTGGGGAATGATTTTGCCCTCCTTCAAAGGTGGTAAGGAGGGAACACTGGTAGGAGGAACACCCTTAAACKGCTTGAGCAAGGAAATGTGGAAAACATCATGAATCCTACTGTGCTCTGGAAGTTCCAGCTTATATGCAACCTCACCAATTCGCTGCAAAACCTTGATAGGCCCGGAGTTGTGCCTGTTGTAAACAAAGAGAAATTTCAGCCAAAAGAGCATCTCGCTCTTGTAAGGAACGATCAATCTCCTCCAAAYGAGTAGAACCAGGTTCATAGGACAACAAACGAGGAGGTTCACGGCCATAGACAACTCGGAAGGGTGTCATTCCTAAAGAAGAATGATAGGCAGTGTTATAACAATACTCGGCCCAAGGAAGCCAATCAACCCACTGTCTTGGTTGATCCCCAACAAAGCAACGGAGATACATCTCAATCGTTCGATTCACCACTTCAGTTTGACCATCTGATTGAGGATGATAAGCGGAAGAAAAGGCTAAGGTGGTACCATTTAACCGAAACAATTCCCTCCAAAAGGTACTAGTAAAACCAGGTCCCTGTCGCTGACAATAGATTCCGGTAACCCGTGTAAACGAAAAATGTGAGTGAAAAATACATGGGCGACAGAAGTAGCGCTGTACGGATGAGAAAGAGGGTTGAAATGAGCGTACTTAGAGAAGCGACCCACCACTACATAAAGAACTGATTTTCCCCCAACCTTGGGCAATCCTTCTATGAAATCCATGGAAATATCAGCCCATATCTGCGTTGGAATCGAAAGGGGCTGAAGAAGACCAGTTGGATGCAGATTTTCCTATTTGTGTTGTTGACAAATAGAGCAGTTTTGTATAAAGTCCCTAATAGAGGCCTTCATACCTTTCCAATGGAAATCAGCTTGGACGCGATACAGTGTTTTCTGAATACCTTCATGGGTGGAGTTATGAATACTGGAGATGATGGAGGGAATCAAAGAGGAATCAGCCGGGAGATATATCCGACCCTTATACATCACAAGCCCATCTGTAAAAGCCCAATTGGAGTCTACAGCTCTAGACTGAATTTTCTGAACAAGAGCCGTCCACTCTGTTGATTGTGGCATCTCTTTCTTGATGTCATCCAATAAGGTGACTCGAGGACGTGAAATCCCACAAAGGAGCATAGTGTCCTCTTCGCGCCTAGACAATGCATCTGCTACACGATTTAAAGATCCCGCCTTGTAATCCACCCGGAAATCAAACCCAAGCAGCTTGCTAACCCAATGTTGTTGGGGAGAAGTAACAAGTCTTAACTCCAACAAGTACTTGAGGCTATAGTGATCAGTTTTGACAACAAATGATCTTCCCCACAAGTATGGTCTCCAATGTTGGACTGCTCTAGCTAACCCAATCAATTCGCGTTCATAGGCTGGCAATTTCAAATGTCGATCAGCTAGTTTACGGTTGAAGAAAGCAATCAGGTGCCCTTGTTGCTGTAAAACGGCGCCAATCCCCATTCCAGATGCATCACATTCAACTGTAAACTCAAGATCAAAGTTCGGTAATTGCAGAACTGGAGTGGTGGAGAGGGCATTCTTTAAATTTTCAAAAGCCATGTCAGCTGCATTGTCCCAATGAAGGGCATTCTTCCTCAGCAGGTTGGTTAATGGGGCAGCCATCACGCCATAATTTTGTACAAATTTGCGGTAATATCTTGTGAAACCGAGGAACCCACGCAGAGCCTTGGCGGATTAGCGTGGGCCATTCCTTGATCGCTTGAATTTTGGAATTGTCCACTGTTACACCCTTGTCGTTAATGACATGACCCAAGTAAAGGACCTGGTGCTCTCCAAAGGAGCACTTGGATTGTTTAAGGAAGAGCTTGTGTTGGCGCAGTAGCTCAGAAACAATCCTCAGATGATGCACATGTTCTATCCATGTTTTACTGTAAACCAAAATGTCGTCAAAGAATATAAAACAAATTTGCGAAGGTGGGACTGAAATACCTTATTAAGGACTGAAATGTGGATGGGGCGTTTGTGAGACCGAACGGCATAACTAAAAACTCAAAGTGACCATGATGAGTTCGGAAGACAGTCTTTTTAACATCTTCGGAAGCCATTCGAACCTGAAATACTGGGCACCATGAAGTTCATCCAACAACTCGTCCACAATGGGAATAGGAAATTTATCCTTGACAGTCCGGTTATTAAGCTCCCTGAGTCAACACAAAATCTCCAAGTACCATCTTGCTTTGCCACCAACAGGACCGGGGAAGAAAAAGGGGAACGGCTAAGGCGGATGATCCCTTGCTCCAACATTTCAGCACATTGCCTTTCTATCTCATCTTTCTGCAGGTGTGGGTAGCGATATGGCCTTACTACTACTGGTTCTGAACCCGTCATCAGAGTGATCCGGTGATCGCAAGCTCGGGAACGAAGAAGTCCCTTGGGTTCTTGGAATACATCTGAAAAATCAGCGAGGAGCCTTTCCATGGTTGCTGCGTGTGTCATTTCATCTTGGAGCACATGAACCTGTGGGTATTTTGCCTTCACCACTTTACCCTGCCAAGTGACTTGCTTTCCGTTCAAGTGGAAGGTCATCGTTAGGGCGTTGAAATCCCATAGGATTGGGCCTAGAGTGHTYARCCATTTCACCCCAAGAACTACATCAAATCCATCCAAGGATAGCACAAACAAATCAGCAAAGAAGGATTCAGAATTGACCTGTATTTGGACTCCCTTACAAATGCCCAGGCTGTGTACTCTTTCACCGTTTGCTACGGCTACCTGCAGTCTCGGTTTGATTTCCATTGGCAGTTCCAACTAGAGAGCAGCTTGTTCACTTACAAAATTGTGTGTGCTTCCTGAATCAACAAGGATCAATATTAGTTTCCCTGCTACCCGCGCTTGCAATTGCATAGTTTGAGAGGTTTTTATTCCAGTAATTGCGTGGAGAGAAATCTCGGGTTCCAATGAAGAGGGTTCATCCTCATCTTCCTCCTGTTCATCCACCAGGAGGCAGAAAAGTCTCTTGCACTTGTGCCCTACTGAGTAAAGTTCATCACAATTAAAACACTGTCCCCTCGCCCTGTGTTCCGCCATCTCAGCCCTGGACAAGCGCTTAATAGGGGGTGCAACAACGCTGCTTCCCACACTGAATGCCGATCTGGAATTGCTGCCCGTCTGTGGTTTCTGTTCTTGGTTGGCTGCTGAAGATGGAGCCGTTTCGAGTGGTTTCGGGGCTGCCCATGTTGTTTGAGGCCGCCCTATACTGATACTTCCGCGGTTGAGTTGCAATTTTCGTTCAAAAGCTCGAGCCAAATTCATAGCAGTAACCAGATTGGGGAGATTTTGCATCTCCACATCCACCCTCAAAGTTTCCACTAATCCCGCGAAGTTGCTCTTGCAAGGAGGGTCTGAAATTGGCATTGATACTCAGCCACAGTTCCAGTCTGTTTGAGGTTGATTAGTTCGCCTAATGGATTGCTTGTTAATGGGGGCCCAAATCTAAGAAGGCAGTAGGACTTGAATTGGGTCCAACTGAGCCCGGGTTCCTCCTGCTCCAATTTATAAAACCAGAGCTGTGCCTCCTCTGTCATGTGGAATGCGGCTAATCCTACCTTGTCCCTGTCCTCTGTCCGTTGGTTGCTGAAAAGCTGTTCACATCTATACAACCATCCCAAAGGATCTCCAGCTCCATTATAGGAAGGAAATTCCAGCCTACTATATTTGGGAACAATCGCGGTTCCCTGGGCAACGACCTGTTGCTCTCCAGAAGATTCTGCCAGGTCTGGTCAGCGGCCGTCTGTGGTTGCAACCCCTTCTGAACTCTTTTCCCTGCTGGAAAAATGCAACTCCATCAAGCACCTCAATTCTCGGACGTCGTCCTTGATCTTGCGCACCTCCTTGCTGTTTTCCACGAGTTTGTGCTCCAAATCATGAACCCTAGTTTTCAATTGCTCAAAGTCACCCATGACACCTTGCTCTGATACCAAATTGTTAAGGGCCCGTGAATAGGATCTCGTCACAGGTCAGTTAACGGGAAAAACTTCTTGATTTTCCTTGTTTCACCCTTTTCTCGAGGAACCTATCTTTGGAGCCTTAATGGTGATTTGTTAAAGAGATCACCAACTCTCCTCTACTCTTTCTTGACTGAAAATATCGATAATCTTATTGAATATCATCTGCTCCTTTAAATAGGAATTACAAGAAGGTAAGAGTCCTTCTTTAGGAAACTACCTAACAAACATTTATCTTTAAATAGGAAATAATAATGCTACTGCCTAATTAATAGAAAAGTATTTAAAATGGAAATCTTAAAATTTAGCTAAGAGATAAGATAGGAATACTGAATTTAACGCCCATTACTGCTGCTGTTTGCGGCTGTACTTCTTTCCAATAAAAGCATCCACAACAACTTAAAGTAATTTTAGTAATTTTAGTAGGATTAAGAAAGTGCTATTAGAATTGTTTAGGCATTAGATTCCTTATTCAAGTGTCCTTGTTGGGTACTTATGATTCAATTAGGAGTTGTTTTGGGTCAATTTCCTAGACAAAATTGGAGTTCAAAAGCGGATATCTGAATTATTAAGTTCGAGTTTATAAATAGAGTCATTGTAATTGGACATCAAGGAGAGTGATTTGATGAAATGAAGATCAGTTTAGTGAATTCTGGTTCTTGCTAGAAAATTTTCCTTTTTTCCCTCTCATATGTTTTCTTCTAGGTGATCTATTTCGTTGCTGTTTACCCTAACAGCAAGCATTCTACTTGCTTCTCCAATCATATTATTCATCTCTAATCATCCACAGCCCTCATTCATTCCCACAAAGCCCACCACCAGATCCTAATTTGGTGTGGACCCCTACCTGTCCCACATCGGTTTGGTGTCAGAGCCATATCAAGAGGTCTGAACACCGAATCTAGAGGTATTAGAACCATATCTGGAAGTATCAAAGCCAAACCCCAAGATATTCGATCCATATCAAGAAGCATTAGAGACATATCTACATTATGGATGAATCGAAGCTAATATTGAAAAGCAACAGAGCAAATCTTGAAGGTGAGTTGGGAAGATATCCTACTTTGTGCACAACTTTGCAATGACTACTGTTGTGAAATACAAGCTAACTTGTGAGATATAGGAATAGAGTTGCAAAAGGCAACTTACCTTTGTAAATCACCAAAACTCCATAACTATGAAGTTATGACACAAGATAAAGAGAAAGAAGGACAACCAGATGTAGAGCCATCTATGGTTCACATTATAATACCTCATTCCATGCCTGTCAAGGAAATCCCTAAAGATGTGTTCCAAGTGCTTGGTAAACAACTTTAACCAAAACATAATGATGGGCTGACAGCTGGTTTCTTTAAACAACTTTAACCAAAACATTGATATGGTGATTCCCAAAGATGAAAAGATTATCTTTTATGATGTTTGTGTTCATCACCCACACCCTTGTGGCTCCTAGTACCAAGCCTGTAGCACACCATTTGAAGCAACTATTGATCCTCTGCCACTTCAAAACTTGAGGAAGAGTTTCCTTTTTTTTAATTTTTTGGAACCAAGAGAGAATGATGCAGATGCAGAAGCAAGGAAAGAATTAATGGAAAAACAAACCAATTCTCCAATTACTTTTGAGTAATAGGATAATGGTACTCTCTTAGATTTTTTTTCCAAGTTATTGGCGTCTTAATAACTGTTTATGAGAATTTTATTGTTGTTTCGAAATTAGTATTTATAGTAACTCTTTGGGCTTACTATTTTTAGTTCTTGTAATTACTATCTTTAGTAAGCTTGCAGTTTACTATTTTTAGTAATTTCTGATGTCTTTAAATTAAAGTGGTTTTAGTGGGATTAAGAAAGTGCTATTACATTTGTTTAGGAGTTGGAGTCCTTATGGGTTACTTGTGATTCAATTAGGAGTTATTTTGGGTCAATTTCTTAGTACAAATTGGAGTTTGAAAGGGGACATCCGAGTTAGTAAGTTGAGTCTATAAATAGAGTCGTTGTAATTGGAATTCAAGGAGTGAATTGATGAAATAAAGATTGGTTTAGTGAATTCCAGTTGTTGCTAGAAATTTTTCTTTACCCACAGCTCTCATTCATCCCCACAAAGCTCACCACCAGATCCTAATTTTGTAGGATCCCTACCTGTCCTACATCAACCTCATCCTCGCCCTGAATTTGAGTATTCCTGTGTGTGTCTAACAAAATTAAGCTTGTGAACTCGAAAGAGTAACCATACAAGTTTAAAGTCACTTTACTATGACTGCCACTTACATATTTTCCTGAGCTCTCCTCTTTGTAAATTATAAAAAGATCACCAGCTTGGAGTCTATGCATTTTTACAAACTCTCCTGAGGATGAAAAAGAGACAAGGTTAAACCAGTCAAGCACCAAAAACAAGTCTTAAGAAAATCAAGTTAGAAAATGGAACACGAAGTGTGTTTGAATTTCTACATGCCTGTATTCTCCATAACATACATCCTACTTCTGTTGTTTGGCCAAAACCTGGAAAGAAACATAAGAGATATAATTCAAAATTTTTCAAGAAAAAAATGGTATGATTCATAAAAATATAGGAATTTAAATGAAAATAAAGTTCTTCTAAAACTATACCATGTCCTTAGGATTTCAGAATTGACAACAGCTTAGTTCAATGTTATATATCATGGAAGACAAAAACCTTGTATCTAGAATAACTTTGTCCCATTTCCCTGGGTTGGAGATTGTATGCCCCCCCCCAAACCTTTTTGATAAATGTATGGGGTTTTTCCCTCTTGATATTCCCTGACAACTTAAGCTGAGCATAGGGTCACACAATTTTCATATTGCCATATGAGTTTGAAATAGTATTTACATTTGTATGCTCAGAATTACATCAAATTGACATTTCAATGCATACGTATTTAGCTCTCAAATTCTAAAGATGCAAACCACAACAATCCTTGCTTTCCTAACTAAATAAATGGATTATCAAGTATGGTGAGCAAATATATTGCTAGCAAGGTTCTACACTTGTTCCATTACAACGTTTTCCATGCAATAGAACCTTTAACAATAGCCCACTATCTAAGGGTTGCCAGGAAGGGAGTAAAAAGACACAATATGCATTGGGGAACTTCCATTCTAGGACAAAGATTGTACTTGTACCATTCGTTGCTTCCCAATTCCTTATTTTGGTACTTTTTGTCTTCTTTTCTTGTTTTCAATCTCCTTAGTGATCATGGCGCTGTCCTATTTATTCCCATTTATGCAATTTTGATCTAGTTATTGATCAAATAAAAAGAAAATGGTCCCTGTTTTCACAGTGGGCATCAAATCTTAAATTTAAATACACTTCAAAACAAACATTTAGAACATTAAAGATACCCATACTTTATCATCATCATCATCCAAGCTTATCCCAACTATATTGGGTTTGCTACATGAATTCTGTTTCACCGTTCCATTTTGTTTAATGCCACATCCATTGTTGAATTATTAGCGCTTAAATCATTTCTTACCACTTCGGCCCATGTCCGTGTCTACCCCTTCCCCTTCTAGCCCCTTCAACTTTCAAGATACCCATACTTGAAAGCATATATTTATAACCTTTAACATACCTATACTTGAAATGCCATTTGACTGAATAAATCATATCTTCCATTTGAAGAATCAATCCATCCTTCACAGCTAGGGGAGGAAGATTTGCCTCTGCATCCTTCTGCAAAAGGAAATCCAAGAGGAAATTTCATTGAGGAAACACTGGGATTTCTAAAACACATGACAACTCAAGCCTCTCTTCGTTGTTCAGACATGTACTACAAAAACCAAGGTTTCCCCTTTCAAAACAATAAAAGAATAAGATTCCATGTAAATGGATGGGTATCATACTTTTGGAAGAACAATCCTTCCCAAGCTACCAACATCTGTATTCCGCAACTCTTTCTGCACAAGTACTCTCAACCCTCTTCCTTCAATTTCCTGAATGGATCACAATCTTAATTAAAATCAGACTGGTGATCAAATATCAAATAAAGAGGGAAATGAGCTCAATGCATTGCTGGAAAACATACTTCCAATCCAATTTCCACATCATAACCTGTTCTTTGCATAATTGAAAAGTTGAAAGAAAGTAAAAGGAGAAAAAAGGGAGCAGAAAGTCTAGATTTCTAATCTGCAGTAATCATAATTTCTTTAAAGCTGGTACTCAGTTGTCAAGGCACCTAGGCAATTCAAAGTAACATTAGAGTGCCTAGGCATCACCTAGGCAATTAAATTACAAAAGAAAAAACCAAAAACCAAAACAAAAATTTATATTAGTAGTTCCCTAACATTACATACAGATTAGCATACCTTTAAATTTAAAAAATAGCAATACTCTTTACTAATAATATTAATTTGCTTCTTAAAACATACCAAATCATTGTATCCTAAAACACAATAGCATTTTAAATCAATTAATTTCAATTCAAAAACTATACTATATTGTAAGTATTTAGTAGAGCAATTGCATGCTAAAAAATTATTAGCAACAAAAGAACATTATAACTTCATACTAATAAAAACTTAAGAAGAGAGAGAGAGAGAGAGAGAGAGAGAGAGAGAGAGAGAGGCACTGAGCAAAGGGCACCTAGTTGTCTAGGCAATACCTTCACAACTATATCGGAACTAGGTAATTAATCCAAGGCTAGAAGAGCCAATCATCAAATAACCCCTGGATTTTCCATAAAGCATAGTTTGTCTGTTTGGATAAATCATCTTCAAGTATATATGAGCAAGCCTAGGAGTTGGATGGTTTTGGGTTTGTTTGGACTAAAATAATACCAAAATTTCCAGTCTGGGTCAAATCAGATGAAGTTATGGTAACCGTGAACAATGTTCTCTTTGCTTTTATGCTATGAATGATTGAAAAGGATTATAACCAATATATAAAGACCCAAAAACGTACTAGGCCAATTACTTATTGGATAATATCCCTATTCTATTATCATGAGCAACAGAGAAAGAACTAAGCATAAGATATGATATCAATACAGTAAATGGGACAATCATGTCTGTGTTTGTCTCTCTTTTCTTTGTTTTCTTTTTTGAGGGTAGGCCTTGGCATAATGTTTGAGTTGCTCCATTGTGACCTGGGTGACCCAGGTTCAAATCTTGGAAACAGCCTTTCTGTATGCGCAGGGGTAAGGCTGCATACATCTGTCCCTCCCCATACCCCGCATTGGCAGGAGCCTTGTGCACTGGGCTGCCCTTTTAGACTGTTTTTTTTTTGGATAAGAAATGAGTCAATTTATTAAATTTTTATTAAAATAATTATATATATATATATTTGTCTTGGACTTTTGGATCCCAAGAAGGGGAGAGATAATATCCCCATTTCTTCTATCTATTTTCATCCCTGTATCATGGCATCCTAGGCTCAAATATTAAGTGTCAAAGAAGGAAATTTTACAATATTAGGATTTCTAGTCCTTAGAGAATATCAAGTACAATACTTCAACAGATGGTTGGGATCAGTAACCTTTCAGGAATCATGTTCATAATTGATCAATGAATATGACACTGAACAAAGTGGAATGATAGAATAGGATCCATGTATCCAACTAGGGGCAAACATTTATATCCTAGCTCAGCCTAACCTGGCATGTATTATATATTATATATTATATATACATATAAATGTGTTATTTTTTAACTTTTATATTATAATATGAGGCATAAAATATATTATATATAATAGCTTATAATAGTTCATATTATATAAAGTAAAACATGAATTTTTTAGATATATTATATGTTATGTGTTTTATGTATATGTCAAGGTTCAAAATATCGATACTGCCCAAACTGGTCGAGACCCCGAAACACCCCCTGTAGGGGTGAAGGGTGATTGTTTGGGTGTCCCTCTCTTAGCCTGTGATGGGTTTTGAATTTGTGGAGAGGTAGCTCTCATTTTTTTCCCTGGTTGTTTGGTCTGAGATCCAATTGGCCTTGGGTTGTGCCATGTTTTATGGATCTCTCACAAAGCTTCTGATTTGGTGATCTGTGTATTAATGTGTTGGGTGTTCAAGGAGCCTTTCTTTTCACTCAGAACATTATTCAATCAGCCGTGTAGTCTGTGAGATCGACTGTTTGTTTTTTTTTATTTCCTTTTTTGTCCTGATGGTGTTTGAAGTTGTTCTTCATTGCTGTTTCTACTTTTTTGAAAGGGCTTCTTGTGGTCCGTCTGTTAGAAATGTGATATACCTTCAGTGCTGGTGTGGTATTTCTCTTGAAGCTGTCAACAGTGGAACAACACTGCTTTTCTTCTTTCTTGGTTCTGTTATTTGGTATAACTGGGTGATATTTGTGGTGATTGTTTCTTGGCTTGTTTTAGGCTATGGATACTGAAGATTCAGCAGTTTCAGAGGCGTCTGAAAATCAAAACATGATCAGTCCAGGTGCTGAAAGTTGGGGCCTACCTGATTCTATTACTGTCCTTGATGGACTGAATTATATGGAGTGGTCAAAGAGTGTTAAACTGTATGTAGGCTTCAAGAGGAAGGCATGAGTATTTATCTAGTGATGTCACTCAACCATGAGATACTTTTGGCCAACACATTTGATTGATGAAGTAATTGATTAACAACAAGATGATATAGGCCATGTTGAGGATGGAAAAGTGGCTAAAACTACTGAAGTTAATGCTTTAGAAGAAGAAAATTTGGCAGGGGACATTGAGGGTGAAGCTCTAATGATACGACACTCTAGGTTGCATCTCAAGAACCACTACCTAGGGACTGGTTGAGAAGGAATATCTTTATAACATGTAATACAGCTGGTGGGAAGTTGTGTAGCCTGATTATTGACAGCAGTAGTGAGAATCTTGTTTCTCAAGAGATAGTGGATAAACTGCAGTTCAAGACTGCTCAACACCTGTCATATTGCATTTTGTGGTTCAACAAAGGAAATGGGGTTAGAGTTTCTTTTTGTAGAGAAAATGGATGACCAGCTTGTGGTTCCCACTTGTTCATATGTTTTTACTTTCTTATAGTGCAGTTAGAATACTGTTAGAATTATTTTTTCTACTGTTTCTAGTGACAGGGGCATTCCTGT